TATATTTTTAAATTGAAGTGATTTTAAATTTACTCCCTTTTAGGGAACTTAAGATTTTATTCTTTATTATCTTACTATTAGTAAAGGCCAGACATTTTCAAATTGCCTTAAAAAAGTTCAGCTATACTTAAATTTAGAACTTGACAGTACTCTCAATATTTTAAAGTTGTTTTCTCCTCCAAGAGTCAAAATATCCATACAGTATTTCAAGTGGTTCTTATATTGAATATAAGGCTTGATATGAAGAAATGTAGTCTATTAATTGATTCCTAAAATTTTGCTCAGTTTGTCTAACCCAATCATTCATCTAAATACCAATGTAGAAGATACACTTTAAATAGTCTAATGGATAATATATAACAGAGGCAAATCCATAATTTGATAATCCACAAGTTAAGGAAATAATAAAAATTAATGCTTTTGAGAAATTTGCAAAATAGCAATTTTGTTTAGCAAAAGTAGACTTTGATAAGCTTGTCTGCATGGCCAAATTATACCAGACAATAATTCCATAGAGATGTAGCAATCACTTTCTAGATGTTATCAAATGAAGATATTCTTGTTTTCTGTGGTAGTCTTTATTATTTTTTAGCTATTGATAACATAGCATGGTAGCAAGATTACATCAGTAATGTAATATAATACAACTTTTTTCATTGAAGCCTTATAACTTACTATAGGCTATGTGAAGTGTTCCCCCTTGCACTAAAGTACAACTGCAATGCCTCTACTGCCTCTCCCAGTAGATATAAAAATATTGCACTATGTTAAAGGTATGTTTTACAAATGTCATTAGCAGCATTACTGAGCTTTCCGTAACTGTGGTTCTACAGAGTTAAATACTTTTAAAATATGAATAGGTTCTTATTAAACCAAAGTTTTGCCATCATTTCTACGGCTCTTTCAAATGCATCAGTTTCAGCAGCATGCTTGGGTATCACTAAAACTTTCATGGTTTAATCAATAAACACAAGCCACTTACAGACACGCCACCTTCCAGGTTATCAATGGTAAGTTATTTTTTATAGGATGAAATGTGGTTATACATTGGGCAGATTGTTTCAAGCATAAGTTTATGGAACAACATTTCAGGGAATTTGGTGTGTAAAGCCTCCTATAGCAGTGTTCTTTTAAAAAGGCAGGTATACGCAGATATATTTTTGTTATAAACTTGACCAAGAAAGGTATTTAGTGTCAATATTTCACTTGATAAAATAACAATAGGTATGAGAGTTGGCTATTGATTTTAAAAGTAGAATAACTTTTCTACCCTCAAAAATGTTTTTCTCACTCACAAATAATACCTTTTATTTGTATAGCTTTTTACTGTTCAAAGCACTTTTGCAGTTATGCTATTGTCTTCCTCACAACAATCTTGTGAGGTAAAGTAGTAGTATTCCCATTTTAGAGATGGGAATACTAAGGTATGACATCTTTTTGTGACTTGCCTATGGTTGCTGTTCATTAATGGAAGAACTTAAACTCTTAGAGTTCTGGACTATAGACCTGGGACACAATCTTTAATATTATATTATGCTTTTTCCTGCCAACCATAAAAGCTGTTCCATCTAGTTTAAAACTAG